ATGTGGTGCGAATGTGCCGTGAAAATTTAATAAATGACAAATTAAAAAGGCATGAACATTTTTTTTGTATCGAAAAAAATATCGAACCGTGAATTTTGTGTATTGTTGCACCCCTAGTATAAATATGAACATATATATATCGTGTGGAGATAGAAAAGTGTATCGTGCCATTTGTCTTCTATCGTTTCTAACCTAATTTTATAAATTACACAAAATATATCATACCCTTTAAAACCGGTCGGAGCAGGCATACTCCGTTTTGCCTAACTATTTTTAAATCCCTGTAGAACTGGAACCACGTAAGCTAGCGCAATTATTTTTTTGCATATGAAACCGGAGGAGTTGTACTTACATCTTATGCCATTAGCTTGTCCTAGGTCAGGTTTCCTTCCACATATAGCTTTGCAAAAATTGCATAAAAAGCCTTGCAGGAACAAAAACATAATATTCCAGAAACACGCTTTGCCGATCCGATCAGCTGTTCATAATCACTTCCTACATTGGAATTAGAGATGGCACGATACCACTTTTTTATGTCCGATATCATAAATTTGGATATCTGCCGATACCGATATGAATCCGATATAGTGTTTTTTAACAACAAAACTGTTTTTTAAATATCTTGCTGCATTTTGTATAAGTTCATACTCAAGTTTAAAACAACAACTACACTAAAGCTATTCTGTTATACCTGTATGCAAAAAAAAATATTTCATAGTTCAGCAATACTGATCAATCTAATAAACTTAAACCTACACCATCCTCCCTATTCTGGTATTTTAAAGAGTACTTAGCGTAAATATTAAGCAACCTAACTAATAGGGTTCCAACTCCCAGCAACAACAAAAATAAATAAATAAAAAATAGGGAACCACCCCTCACGCTCCACCTCATGATGCTTAATCGACGTAATCAACCTTAATTTGATGCAGTGTGAAAAAAATGCACAGAAATCAATTATTTTTCAAGAAATATTAAATAGATTCAACATCTTTCTTCAACAAAATTGCAGACTGCACAGATGGTACCTTCCCAAAGGAAAAAGTACTATAGCTTACTAGGGTATATATATTAGACTTAATAGTTCACTATATACAGTAATTGACTTCTATTCATTTTACATCAAATTAAAACTTTGGGTGTCAGATAATTATTTATTAAAAGCTAGACATTTTAAATGAGAATAAGAAAGAAAAGTATGTCTTTGTGCCCCCTTTTCCCTGTTAATGCCCTATCGGCCCCCCTGGCTAAACTTTGCTAGATCCGCCCCTGCACAGTTACCAGCCGTCAGCTACGTAGAAAAAGATCCTAGTAGAAAGTAATATTAAATAAATTCTAACAACAGCTTATCAAGCTTAAACGTGCTGCTGTTGTTCAGCCGCTGGTTTCCTCTTTCTGGTGCAAAGTGGGCCAAAAACAAACAAGAGAGACGGACTCGCGACAGAAAAGCCGATCAGCTGATCATTAAGCAGTTTCATGATTGAAGTAGCAGCAAGAAGAGGCAGTCGCTTGTTAAGCTTAACGCAGGAATGCTTTACAAACATTCAGAGATGGACTTACACACTTGCTTTACTTCTCTCGGGATAACTTTGTCGGAGATGAAATGCCGGGTTGCTAGCGAAGCTCCAAATGCTATCCAGACCACCGACAGGTCCCGCATGCCACAGCCGCTCTATCACGTGATGCATTGTGAAGTGCTTTCGTGATATTTAATGGATCGGATTACATTTTTTATTTTTCTCCGATATCCGATCCAGTAATTTAGGTCAGTATCGGACCGATACGCAATATCGGATCGGTCCATCTCTAATTGGAATATGGGTCAGCGCAAAATATCGCATGTCTGCCATTACCCTTCAGGGCCTTATAAGCCTATGCTGGTGTTTTTAAAAGTTATGTTTGACTTTATGCTTTTCTGTATAGTTTCTGGGATGCTTAGAACTCAAATTACACTGTTGGAAATAGTTTATTTTGATGCACATGCTGTTTCTTTGCAGCAAGTTGGGAAAAGAAAAACTATAGCCAGCCAAAGATACAACAGTCTTTCACACAAGGCCCTTGTGAGAAAACGTCCCAGAGCCATAAACAAACCACAGGAGCCATCTCGCGTTACATTTGTAAAGGCATGATCCCCGTTTATGTAGTTGAGAAGGACAGCTTTCGTGACCTCGTCAAAGTCCATGATCCGAGGTACGTAAGCACTTCAGTAAAGTCAAGTTGCCTCGCTTGTATGACGCATGCCGGGCCAAAGTAGAGAAGGATGTTTGCAGTGTCGTGCATTATGCCTTGACGACTGACCTATGGACGAGCAGAGATACGCAGCCCTACATGAGCGTAACCATCCATTTCATTAACAAAGACTGCACCCTCTGCGCTCGCTGTTTACAGACTGCGTACTTTCCCGATGCCCACAGGTCAGGTGGTATATCGTGATATAAAATAACTCATATCGTGATAAATATGTTTTCCATATCGCCCAGCACTAGCTAAAACTAATGAAAGCTTGGCTCATAGACAGTTTCAAGACAGGAAAATAGAGACTACAGGATGATCATGACATCCCCAAAATAAAACCAGTAAACAAATATCCTAAGTAGCTGAACATTTGGGTGCAGCTCTACAAGAGTAATTTTCATTCATAGGAGTTTGTACTTCTATACACACTGTGCCCAGCTTCTGTGAAAAGTACAGAAGCGTAGGTGGAAACTTTCTCCAAGAGGAGCTCTTTACACCACATCCTTCTTAGATGTGAAAGATAAACAGCCCTGGTATTTTGTCGCTCCCTCTACACACTCTGCTGAGAAAATCCTTGGTGTGCCTGGAGGGCTGGGTTTAAATAAAAAAAAAAAAAAAAACCTAAATAGCACCAGGTACCACCAGGTGGCACGCAGTATTCTGATGTTCTAGTCATACATTCAGTGCCTGAAGTAAGAATGCAATGAGCAGGGTTTTCTCAATTGTTTTGCATATTAAAGGAAACCTTTTGCTTAAAAGACGAAGAGGCTTTGCATCAATACAGTCCATTATCAGTGTCATGATAGAGACTGGGTGGACACTATTATTCAATAGCAGACAAAGGCCACAAACGACCCATCTGAAAGCCAGTGGTAGTCACAGCTGAACCTGGTGGGAAATGTTGCTGCTTTGCATACAGTCCCTGCTGTTCAATCACCCTTATCAGGACAGGGCAACAAAAACAATAGGTGGATTTGTTTCTCCACCCCCAACCCCAGCCAACAAGAGTGGCTAAAGCCTTAGGGCAAATCCATCCAGCATTTGCCCTTTGGACTAAAGCCTCTCTGAAAACTGTTATCCTCCATCAGTAACACTTGTTAAGAAAAAAAAAAAAGAGAAAAAAAAATCATTTAAACTGCCTTTAAGAGCAACTAAACATGAGTGGGAGCAATTTAAAAGAGCCGTTCAATTCACTGTGAGCCACTCAAGTAATTAGATCCTATTACAAGAGTGCAAACACAGGGACACTGCCGGCCTTTTAAAATGACCTGCTGTCCCGTAAAGCCCAGGCTGGGCCCTGCTCAGCACTGGCTTGCTCTTAATGAGATTTCACAACATTAACATTCTACTGAGTCAGCATCAGACACACTGACTACAGCCTTGCTCTGGTGAAACAGCCTGGGCTCTGAGTGTACATCTTTACTACCGAGTGCAAGTCTCTGTTAAAGTGAGCGTGGGATGGAGGGATTAACCGGACAGATAAAAGTGGAATTCTGCTGGAATCCCTCCAGCAGGTACTAGAGAGACAGTATTCAATTTTTGTCTATGGAGGGAAAGTGTCTCCTAACAGTTTCAATCCATTTTTTTTCCACTTATTAAAAAATTATGAGCATTGCAAGTGCTGCTTGAAAATTGGGTTACACACCCTTCTGTTGCGTTTTTATTTCAGCACAGTGCTCTTTCCTGACAATGTTTGAATTGGAAAGTATCCACATCGGTCATCAGAGGCTCTGTCACGTGTCCCACGTTTATATTTTACTGGGACATCCATACAGATATTCTAACCACCATCAAAGCACATTTTAGCATTCTGTATAAGCTTGTGATAATGACGCCATCTATGATTGCCTGACTAGCACAACTGCTCCCTTACGGCAGAAATTGCGATTACTTTCTTGAATATTGTAATTATTTAAAACAAACGTTCTAATACTATATGAACATTATATAAAATAAAATTTTAAAAAAGAAAATAACACAAAGACGACACAAAAAAAAAAAAAAAAAGCCTGAGCCTGTGTCCTTGATGGTGATCGAGGACACAGGGTCTTTTAACATTAGACATGAGTTGGACACCGACCATAGAGTCCATCTCACAAAGACAACCACCAGTCTCTGCAAGCCTGCCATCACCACAGGATGTTTACACAAAGGGACTGACTGCCTCAGGGAGACCAGAAAGCTGACGGCTATCCTGTGTATGCTACCATAAGTGGATCATGAGACACTGAGCGATCTGGAGACAAATGCTGGAGTGGGAGATGAATAATCCCTCCACAGCACTCTCACCTATGGAAACCCTGAGTTAACCAGAAGTATACTGGTTAAACTCAAGGTTAACCAGTATATTTCTGGCAACCAACCGAGTCAAGTCCCTTTTGGCAAAGAGTCACATCACAGAAGATTTCCACTTGTTGGTGCAGACTGACTCAAGTGGATTTAAAGCCCCTTTTCCATTAGTACCTACTCAGATCGACTCACCTTGGATCGCCACAACTCGACTCCGATTGCAACGCGTCTGAGAGTCCCGCAACACTACAACAAAGGTGGACGTCTAGGCAAGAATATACCTGCTGCTCGGTGTGTGAGCTTTTTATCAGACTCAGCGACCACAGCATTGTTTTTTTGTTGCATTCTCCCTTGTTGCCAGGTTTAAAAAAAAAAAAAAAAAAAAAAAAAGTGGTTTATATGAATAAGTCGCTCTCATAATTCATCAAGTGACACCACAGGCATGCAGTCTTAAGACATCACATTTTAGTACCTACTTGGATCGCTTGGAAGCCCGGGCGAGCAGGTACTAACAAAAGAACCAGGTACTGTGACCTAATGGAAAAACCTGAAAACCATAGCGAACCATGCCGAGTTGATCCAAGTAGGTCCAATAGAAAAGGGGATTTATTCTTGCCACATCCGCGAGTCCACTAGGGTACACTTTGATCCCTGTGAAGTAAACGAGTATCCGTAAGCACAAGGGTTTGTCCAAACCACATTTTATGTTAAAAACTTTAAAATAAAAGGGAGAGCTATACATGGTGTCTCAAAGGTAACATCCTAGCAGCAAAGAGAGTTTGTTTAAAAAAAAAAAAAAAAAAAAAAAAAAACACAACAAATATTAAGAATAGATTTCCTGACCACATCCTGAACAAAAAAGCAGATAGTCTCATTTTTAGAGACATTGGCAGGACAGGGTTTGTAACAGCCGGAGGAGACAGTAAAGCAGAATTTATGCTCTGTTCAAACTGTATATCAGATAACTGGAGACTCCAACTGCTGCACCAAATGACCTTGCCATTTTTAGGGCTCAGTCTTTCAATGTTTGGATCCACACAAACCTTAGAAAGTTGTCCAAGTGTAACTCGTGGTTCAGACTATAGAAATATCAGAAATGCTACGCCGAAGAATTTATGGTCTTTCTGTTATATGTAGATTATTGATGGAAAGCAGTAAATAAGAGCCAGAAAGGGTCTACTGCACCACTTCTGCATACGTCACAACGATCTATGGCTTGCATTAGATGTGGATAAATAAATGGCGGTAGTTGGTACCTTGGTGAACAAAAGACACATTCAGTATAGTCTGAAGGTGGAAAATTCATTTATCTATCACAATCTGAGTGGCATAACCTTATGATCAGTTTATCATAAAGATTTTACAAAACTAGTATGTGATGAGCAATTATGTTGCATTCGTGAACCTCATAGCACCAATTGGTGAGATTCCTATATGGGGGAAATGCACATCCAAAGACCCCACTCACTAAAAATCAATCCAGATCACTGATTATTAAGTAAGGTCTACTTGAGCAGGTTAAACTATGTCACAGAGGCGGTTTGTTATCACACACAGTCAGTGGGCTCCAATCAGCCATAAAAATCCAGAAGCTGAAGAAACACCAATTCCCTGCTTTTTAAATGCATGAAGTGGCTACTATCTTTTATATGACTGAAGATGACCCATAATATAAACTAAACATAAATCAGAACTCAACTGCTGACTTCTAACGCCATGTTTACATTTATGCATGGTCAAAGTGAGGTGAGCTGACGTCATGATAGCCACAGGGTCGAAATCCTGATGGCTGGAAGTGGAGTGCAGGGGTCATTAGCTCCTCTATTAGGAGAAGATAAGCTTGCCGTTGTACTGTATGGGAAGCTAGTTAACATTCACACCATGTTCAGTGCTGCCTCTGATGGAGCTGTGGAAAGTGCTTGCCTGTTGAAAGATTCTGGCTTTTGTTTATTACACTGTTGACAACTAAAAACACGATCCAACCAACCACCACAATGGTTTGCCTAGCTGCCACATCAGCCAGCTATGCTCTCCATCTTACCATCTGCTGTGGTCCACCCACACAAATCTCCCATAACACTTGATCTGGACAGTAGCCTGACAATACCCTGGAGGGCAAAGCAGATGGTGTGGTTACAGGCTAGGCGTTTAGCCTTGAATAGCAGGCAGGCTTAAGATTAAATGGCCACTGAATGGAGTCAAACAGCCTAGCTGCTATTGGTTGAAACACACTCTGCTACCTACCTTGTTTTGCTCACATGGAAAACAGCCCGTTTCAGAAAAAGAAGTTCACCAACTAGCGAAATTAAACCAATCAAACAACACACATGTGAAAACATCTCAAGACCTCAGGCATTCAGGTGGTGAAAACTGTGCTTATAAACACAAGGAAAACTAGTTTCATGCATGATCCTTTAAAACGGCAAAGAAATAAATAAAATAAATAAATAAAATAGTTTGGTGTTGACACATTTTAGTCAACTACAATACAGGTCGATTGACTTAATGCTGCAGCAATGTCATCTTAATGCATCCGGGAACGACTGCCTCCCTACGAAGTCATTTAGATGAGTATACCAAGCCTATATACGCCAGCTGAAGCGCCAGTCCTAGCTGCTCAACAAGTTAGCCTTAAACATAACAATGACCGACCTGCTCTCAAAAAGCTTATGCCGAAATACTCAGAAAACACCTTTAAGTTTAGTTATTCTTTGTGTCGTCTGTCATCAAGGAGGGGAGCACGAAAACAAGACCCGAACATTTAGTGATTTCGGGAGAACGCTCCCGTCTCCGGGCTGTTCGTGAGAAGAAGGTAACGTCGCTTTCGCGAGCCTCAGAAATCAAACAGGCAAAGTTTGAGTTCGAGGAGTTTTCTGCTTCCCGCAATGCAAAGCGACGAGCGTCCTTTACAGACTCTGTAGTTTCTGACTGATAGAAAAAGAAAAACTAACTTACCACACACAGACCTCCGGCAAGCGCATCCAAAGCTGGAGGGTTTCGAGAAAGACGACCCGACGAAAAAAAAAAAAAAACTAAACCACCTCTCACGACGCCAAGTTTCCTCTTTCCTCAGTGAAAACGACTGCTCGGAATTAATACGTAGAATAACATGTAATAGTTACGGTAATGACTTTACGCTAAAGACAAACAAAAACCCACACAGACCTAATCCAACACGGTATACGTCCGTGTTGACGAAGTGAAAGGACGCCTTACGAACAGCGAGCGGCTTTCTTTGTTCCTCCTGCCTGCAGCGGCTGTTCCGCGGATATTATCGCCGTTCATGTGTCCCTGACAGCCGCTGATTGGCTGGAGGGTCGGGATCAAGAAAAGGTGACTAGCGTTAAGCTAGCAGCCCAGCAAAGCGTTTCCGGTCACGACGCCCGAAGAGAAACGCTTCACTTAAAAACGGCATTTTTTTAAAGCGAATTTGTGTCCAGTCTACAGGCATGGCGTTATAAGAACACGCACCGAACGACGTCGTGGAGTGTTTTTGTGAGCTTTTGTTGCCAAATGCTATTTTTTCCCTGAAGGTGTCTACATGTGTGCTTTTATTTTGTGTGTCGGCTTCTCCGCACTTCCTGTTACACTCTCGCTTTTAGAGCTGAGGCAGGGTGGAGACCACTTCATGCCTTACATAGTTTTACGCTGAGCTTAATCACAACGGCTCAGTGCCTTTGCAGTGTATTAACGTGAACTTGGAGCACTGGTTCTACTTTTTGTTATGAAAAAGTATATAAGAAAATATTTCTATAATTGAGACTATGTCTTGGTGACACACACAATATGTAATCCAACCATTCCATAGAACATTTCCTGATCTTTTTTGTCTTTGATTAATGTTGCATACTTAAATAAATAACTTAAAGCTGACATTGTTTATGGATTTATCTAAAACTATTGATTTATCCAAAACTAATGGCTCAGCAAGCTTATTTCTCACTTCTAATGCACCTTGCCACAAAAGCCAAACCAGTTCAGGTAATGACGATCACACTGGTTTGTTTGGATTTAGGTGTGGTGTGTGCTCACAGTAACCACTGTGATCCACCTAATGTCAGTTCATATCAATATTAACTCCCTCTCCATCATCCCAGTCCAATTCCAGCTGTGCTCATCTCACCTGCAACGGTATTAAAAGCGTACGGAAACACGGGCAAGTAAGCCTCTGTGAGTAATAAAGGTTTGGATGAAATGAGCCTCATTGTAGAAAGTAGACCACCGGCTCCCTAAGCAGCTGGCCTCAAATCAATTCCGAAGAGGACCAGAGAATTGAAGCTGATGGGTTTAACACAGCCCAGATCACTCGCCTGTCAGTCAATAAAAATCAGCTGATTTTTTTCCCCCTTGCTCCTCTGCAGTGAGTCATTAAGGGAATAATTCAACATTGTCTGGTAAGCACGCTTCATTTTCTTTCTAGAAAAGTTAGTTGATGGGATCAATAACACCCCTCGTGTCTGTCTATTACATATGAAGCTGGAGTCAGGAGATGGTGTGCTTAACTTAGCCTGAAAGAAGCATGAAAATATCTACCTATCAATCTTCAAGCTGTCACCTTAGACAGTAAAACGCCTGTTACTCATAAAGTCAGAAAGTTGATGTACTTGAGGCAGAAGCAACTTCAACCGAACATGACTCATGCTGCATGCTGTGTGAGTGTGCAAGCAGTGAATTTCTACTCTTGTGTAAGAGCGTATCTATTGTCTATGAAAGAGGCTGTGAGAGTTGTGAAAGTTAGTGTGTGTGTGTGTGTGTGTGTGTGTGTGTCCCTGCTTTTCAGTGCTGACTTCAGAAGAAGCTGCCATGGCTCTTCTCACCAAGCACACACCGAATCCTCTGTGAGTCCTTTGACAGACACTTTACATGGGATGTTTTCATTCACTGCCTTTCATTATGTCGTCTCTGTCTCTCTACCTCCCAACATCTACACCCATCCTAATCTTTTTTGCCTACCATTCCCACTGGTTATCTGTCTCTATCCAGTCCTCATGTGTCACACCTTCATTGTGTCTGAGTTTTTTTAATCCCTCCGTGGACCAGGTTGTGTGGCCGACCGTAATTGGACAGTGTCCCTACAGCCGAAGTGGTGTCACAGAATCATCATGAGGATAGCTGCTTGTGAGAAAATAAATGGAAGTACTTTGCCCTGGTTTGGCTGTATTTCCCTTCACTTTACATTCACATATACAGTGATGTAAGTGTTTGTGTGTTTCAGACAGAAAGAAATGTCTCTAAATTTAACCTTGCCAGTCTGACTTTTAAGTCCACAGTCAACAGGCTGTGGCTGAATTACTGTCTCCGTAATTGTGTAATTGTCTGGGTCTTGCTGCCCACAGGATGAATCTGTACTGTCTATGGTGCTCCAGACACCAAATAAGTAGTTCTTCCTGAAAAATCTAAACAGATAACAACAGGTATGTGTGTGTGTGTGTGTGTGTGTGTGTGTGTGTGTGTGTGTGTGTGTATGTGCATGTAAACATTACATTACAGTATTATCATTAAAAAAAAACATTTAAAAATACAGGTGGTCTAAGCACTGTATGTACACCTGTATGATATGATACGCTGGCTAGGGCAAACCAAACTCTTAATTTATTGACACTCAAAACTGGTGAATAAGATCATAAAACCATTAGTAAAATATTTATTGAGTTAATCAATCAGTAGTAAACCAAGAATTCAAATACTTTAGTAATCTCAATTGCTTGAAAACTAGAGACCTCTCCCTCTGCTGGCCGTTAAAACACAATACAGGTTTAAAAATGTGTTTCATAGACAGACATATACAGATAGTATAAATATTGGTTAATTCTGAAATGCGAGCACTGGTATCTGTGCAGACACGTTGTCAGCAATCCTCTGCTGTTGACATTGCAGTTAGCTAACTGGAAATGCTTCTGTGCCCCTTATTTTTCCAACTTGGGATTGCAACTCGGAAGTTGATATCAATGGTTTTCCCCCTAAAACTCATAATTATGGCCTGAAGTACATGACCAGAATGCAGCCTAAGAACAACCTTACAGCACAGACCCACAAGCATGGCTGGAGATTCTCAGGCCACCGACAGTCGCGCCTAAGATGCAAAAAGCTACACTTAGTGTTAGTTTTGGGTGGCTTTTAAGATCCAGGAACAATATAAGATTTAAGTGCTCGGGGAAGAATAAGAGCTAGAGACAGAGAGCAAATGCATTTCCTTTTTAATCCATGCACGCAATGTGGTGTGCATAATGCCTTGTGCATGTCAGCCATATGCCGGAGTTGTGGTTTTTTCACTGACAGTATGAGCCGTGGAAGACATCTAAAGCAAGATGAGAGGGGATTGCTTGTCTGAATCTGGAGCCTAGTGCTTCACCCTCATATAAACCTGCAACAGGCAGACAGCTTCCAATTACCAGATTGTAGCATTTCAGGGTTAGAATGAAACAATTAACCAAACTTGCTACTGCTAGCTGCTAACCAAGTTTGCTAGTATTAGCTGCTAACCAAGTTTGCTAGTATTAGCTGCTAACCAAGCTTGCTAGTGTTAGCACAAATCCTTCTTGTCCAAACATGCCCACTTTTACCTTCAAAAAAGAAAAGAAAGAAAAGAAAAAACAGAGACCAAAGCACCTTTGTTGAGGTTGTGGAGTCTAAAACCAGTAGGTAATATCGCAGTGCTTATATCTATGTTTAATGTAAGCTTTGGAAACTCAGTTCTTTAATGAGCTGATCGGGTGAGTACAAAAAGTTAAAAGGTCCTTGTGAGAAGTAAAAATTGGTGAGCAGAGAACTTGGATCTGGCTGAGCTAGCTGCCAGTTCTATATGAAATACATGCATAAGCTGGTAGTGGGGTAAGGGGAGAGCTGCAAAAGGAGGTGTGTTTGGTATTTACAAGTTCTCTTCTTGAATATCGCTTGACAAGTCAAATTTATAACAAGAAGCCTGTTTCAGGACAACTTTGTCAATTATTAGCATTTATTTTACTGGAGACACAGGTTCTAAGTTGCTCCTAGAATACACTGTGGGAATGTGTTTTTGTAACTTGACCCACACGAAGGGTCAGCAGTCTAGATATCTTATCCTCTGCTCCATCCATTGTGTAATCTGCCCGAAGCTCCCATCACAGCATCTTTCTGCCTCTTTCTAATCTCCTCTCCTTTCCACTCTAGAGGTAAACAAGGTACCAGTTATAACGCCCTACTGGCTCCATCACTTTCTGTCGTAGCTGTTGCTTTTCAGTGTGTCCCCAGTGCTCAATTTACAAGTGAGCCACAACCAACACCCTGAAGCCCTTTGTACTATTGCAAGAACACTGGCAGATTGTGGAACGTGTTTTAGGAACACACTCGTCCCTTTCAGTCTGACACTAACTAAATACATGTGGTGTGTGAGTCAGGCTGGTCCTGCTAGAGCTAATATGGTGATGCGATGCCTGTTGTTTAGCAAAGGGAATTAACTGTGAATTAGGGAAGAATGTTTGTCAGCTGAAAGCTACACCATTGTTCATCAGTTGTTGTGTCTTTTACAGTTCATTTATATTCTGATTTAGTTGGCAAAAAAGTCAATGCAAATTTCACGTGTCAATTAGAATTAAAATTTGGGGTTTTCTTCCCCAGTCTCCAAGCATTTGGACTGAGCAATGGGATGGAAGCAGGCTGTCATCTGCTCCACTGGCTTGACTTTGAGAGTCTTTGAGTGAGAGTTAAATGGGGCAGAGAAGCAGGCGACACTGCCACCTGCTGGAAGGTAATGTGCTTTCAGCAATCTGTTGAGACCAAATAAAATGAAATTCAATTAAATTTGACTGATATCAAACAAACAGAACAGAACATGCAGTAAAAGCAAATCAACCACTCACTAAATCACAGATAACAGACCATTGAAACACAGAAATGGCATAAATCTTTCTAGTAGAACATTTTTGCAGGGCCTTTTCTCCCCAGCCATAGTTTCCATATGGACACATTTTAACAGCACAAATACCCATTTTAGTTGTAGTTTAGCTTTAACAACACATAAAGAAGATCGCTGTCTTGATTCATGCTCAAAAGGAAATCTCAAAAAGTTGATTCTGTTCATCTGGATGTAGTGTTTTTAGTGGGAAAAATGTTCCGTCACAAATCCAGGTGACTTCTTCTCAGCTGACTGCAGGTGTTCCCAAACAGTACATCTGCATAATGACTGAAACTACCATCACTGACAAACAATGGGCTGTGAGGTCAGTTTCTTGATCATTAATCAGCATGGAGGAGAGGAAGGCGCTCATATCGCTTAGTAATGACACAACATTATCATCCTTCCAGCAGAAAAGGTTAGGTGCATGGTTTTGCTAAGTTTTGTCACTGCTCAGTGACAAAAATACTTATGAGCCCCTGAAATGAGACCCACTGTGTATGGTTTACCAAAGATACACAAACAGGGTGTACCTCTAAGATAAGATAAGATAAGATAAGATAGAACTTTATTAATCCCTCGGGTGGGTTCCTCTGGGAAATTCGATTTCCAAAAAAGCACAGCAACGACCGAAGTTACAGTAAGAATATATATATATATACAACTACACACACACACACACACACACTCACACACACACACACACACACACACACACACACACACACACACACACATATATAAATACAGAGACAAATATAAATAAAATATACAAGGGGATAAATAGAATAAATAGGAATAAAAAATAAAAATACAAGTGAATTGCACATTTCAAGTATTGAGTCTATTGCACCATGTTGACTATTTACAAAAGTATTGCACAAAGGTATTGCACAGTGAGGTGAAGAGGCACTACAGCTTAGTTGTTCCCCCCTCCTTTGTCCTCCTGTTTCCCCTCCCTCTCCCCTCCAGAGAGGAGTTAAACAGTCTGATGGCGTGTGGGACAAAGGAGTTTTTAAGTCTGTTAGTTCTTGTCTTGGGGAGAAGCAACCTGTCACTGAACAGACTCTTCTGGTTGTTAATGGCCGTGTGCAGAGGATGCCTGGCATTGTCCATAATGTCCATCAGTTTCTTTAATGTCCTTTTCTCTGCCACTGTCACCAGAGTGTCCAGCTTCATGCCGACCACAGAGCTAGCCCTCCTGATCAGTTTCTCCAGCCTGGAGTCCTCTAACACCAATTGTCTGTATGATCAGCTTGGTCACCTATAACATCTCAAATTTTCTGGCTTTGACCCTCAACCTGTTGGTAGGCAGCTCTAAACACCACATCAAGAACAGCTTGGATTTTGTTGAGAAGGTGAGAGATGGCATTATGGAGGCAGATGAAACAATGATCTCGTACTATGTTACACCCCAACCTCAGCAACAGGACCACTCTCAGCACCGACCAAGTGTGTTGGCTCTTGGAACTGTGTCAGAAACGTGGGTGTGCCATGGGTTCCCCAGTTTCACCCATGGTGGCCAACTTGAACATGGAAGAAGTGGAAAAGAGGGCTCTGTTAAGTCGTTGGTTCAGGTATGACACCTGGGTGAAAATCAAATCTCAGAACTGCTACTACTACAATTCACTGATCACATTAACTCGGTGGACCAACACATCAAGTTCAGCAGGGAGGATATAAAAAGTGACAGATTAGCCTTCTTAGACTGTGAGATTTCCATCAGTAATGGGTGACATTTAAATGTTGATGTGTACCATAAACCAACGTATACAGATCAGTATGTAAGGTTTGACTCTCATCATCCACTGGAGCATAAACTCGGTGTCATCAGGACGCTACAACACAGAGTGAACACCAGTATGGCTCTCTGTGTATGGTTCTTCCACATGATACTGAAGCCCTTGTTTGTTAAATGGATAAATGATTAAATTCCTAATGTCTTGTTTCATCAAACTCCAATCATCCAATCCAATAACTGACACCAAATAAGGGCCAATAGCAGAATAAGCTGTTTGGTATTGGCAGAGGAGATCCGGCAAGTTTTTCATGTGTAAACTCAACTCTACTGAGTTTGTGTCTTTATCCTGTTTTCCTTCTCTCACCCCAACCGGTCGCAGCAGATGGCCACCCCTCCCTGAGCCTGGTTCTGCCGGAGGTTTCTTCCTGTTAAAAGGGAGTTTTTCTTCCCACTGTCGCCAAAGTGCTTGATCATAGGGGGTCATGGGATTGTTGGGTTTTTCTCTGTATCTATTATTGTAGGATCTACTGTACAATATAAAGCGCCTTGAGGCAACTGTTGTTGTGATTTGGCGCTATATAAATAAAATTGAATTGAATTGAATTGAATTACTACTGCTCAACCCACAAATGCATTTTCCTTACAAAGCATCAAGCATCATTTAATCTGCCTTTTCCTCGTTCTCCCATCACGCCCAGGGACCACCTTCATTTTCCTTGCTCTCTTCACTTCTTTCTTCCTCGGTCATGTCTTCAAACAGCGACATGCTGTTTTCAGCCTGTTTGGTGCCAAATCACATAAGAGGTCAAACAGATCATCAGGCTACACCAATAATTGTAACAGAATAAAAGTCATTATTTTGATAATTGTGTCCAAACTTATGTTTATGAAAAAAGAAAACAGTATAATATCAGTACACTGGTGCTGTGAGTCTAATAGCAGTATGTTAAATTAGATTTATATGTTATGTAATGACTTGACATTTTGCCCTGCTATTTAATCAGCACAAACTCATTTCTTTCTCTCTCTCTCTCACTCACTCACTCACTCTCTCACACACACACACACACACACAGGAGCTCAGAGCGGGCCTGGAAGTATGCTGGCTTGTGGTGTGAGAATCATCATTTCATACCTCTTAGCCTTAATTACAGAATGAAATCGTGCAGCCTTTTGAAGCATGCAAGTTACAGTCAGCGTTTTTCTGAGTCTGGTTGGCTACAGAAACATCCACTCAGGACGTGTTTTGCCTGTAATGACATTAACAAGGAGGCAGGCTAAGGTTAGTGAGCTAGCTGTAACTTACCACATTCAGGGGTTTGAATGAATTAACAAACCTTATTACATTTTCTCACAATAATATCATTGAATTTAACAAAAGTCCTTTGCAAAAATAATGATAACACACAGTGAAAAAACACAAGTACAAATACAAGTTTCACAATAATGAAAACCACAGTTTATAAACACAGTGGACATATTTGTTTAAAATCAGGGATGTCAAACTCATTTTACACCGTGGGCCACTTTAACCTTAATTCTGGTTGTGCAGGAAGCACCACAGCGGGCTGGACAGGAGACTTTGGCAAGCTGATTCTGGCCCCTGGGCCATTCATTTTTTAACCTTAAATGCTCTTCTGTGCAGTGTTAGGTCTCTTTCTGCCTTATTCTGTTTATGCTCACGAGCCACATTGTTAGGCCTGTTTAGTTGCTTGTTAATGCAAATATTAAATTAGCCAATCACATGGCAGCAAGTCAATATATTTAGGCATGTAGACAAAGTTGAGATACCCTGCTTAAGTTCAAACTAAGCACTAGAATGGGAAAGAAGACAAATTATTTGTCTTCTTAGTAACCATGGTACTTAGCACCATGGCTGCTGGTGCCAAACAAGATGGTCTGTGTGGCTCAGAAACCACTAACTCTAGGGTTTACAAAGAATGGAAAAAGAGAAAATATCCAGCAAGTGGCAGTTCTCTGGGTGATTACAGAGGTCAAAAGGTGGATGACCGGACTGGTTAGAGCTGATAGGAAGGAAACAGCAACTCAAAGAAGCACTTGTTACAACTAAAGTCATCAATAGGAAACTGAGGCTACAAATCACATAGAGCCTGGTGTGATGAGTCTTGATTTTTGTTGCAGCACTTGGTTGCCTCCCTTGTGTCAGTGATTCAGGCTGCTGACCAGTTTCTTGCTGACCATGTCATCCCATTATTACCACAGTGTACACATCTTCTGACGACTGCTTCCAGCCCTGTGATCCACCGTCCACCACAAGTCCAGATCATCTCAAAATGGTTTCTTGAGTTTCCTTACAGTCACCACATCTCAAACCCAAAAAGCACCTTTGGGCCAATCAACATTGACTGTGTGACGTTGTTTTATTACCTCAATACAAACCAACATCTCTGAGGAATGTTTCCAGCACCTTATTTCATCTCTGCCAAGAATTCGTACACTTCTGAAGGCAATAGGGAGGCCAACCCAACAGTAATATGGTGTACCTAATAAAGTGACCAGTGACTGTACATAATTTTATCTAACCCTGTTGTTGACAGTGTTGTTTACCCGTTAAGTTTTAGGTATTCACTCATCTTTCCATTTATATACATTTTGCAGTATAATATCTTATGTAGCCACCCACAGAAGATAGTGCCTCTTTATTACACCTAAATATTGCCAATATAGTTTCATGTTTTTGCTAATCCTAGGAAGAATACTAATTTGACAGATCCTGACAACACACTATGTTATTGTGATGCATTTTAGAGGCGTGAGCAGGCGAAAGATTTCAATATTTGCTTTAGGGGGAGGAAATAAGATTTTTTAACAAAAATTGTATTTCAGAGTAGTTAAGAAAGATGCTCTGACAGCAGAATACATTTGCACTCCTTCCGGTTTATTGACACTTTGTTTTACAAAAACAGTTATGAGAGAATGCATAGTGAGTCGCACTCACAGCCGACTCATCAAGGACAACATGGAGCAACACAACAAAGAGCGTCAGGAAAAGGCAAAAAATTTAAAGGGATTAACTTAAAAAAAACAAACAAAAACAAAACAAAAACTCAACAACAACACTGTTTGCAGGTCTCCAGCCCACACAATACAACTGAATGACACACATGGGAGTCTGATCTGGGCAAGCGCACGCAAAAGAAACAAAACAAAAACCCACACACACACACTCACTGGTACATAATGCAAATGTGTGGGGGTTGAGGAATAACAAGGGAAGATTGGTTCATCTGACAAATAACATGAAGAGATGCTTAGAAATGCACATGTACAGGGTCACATCACCCGAAGTTTAAAAAATAAAATAAAATGTACTCATTGTTAGCACTTTTACGCTCCAGATTTTTAGGAGTCAGGGGGAAAGATGAGGAAAGATTTTCTCTTATTTGAGTGAAATGACCCTTTAATTGGGTTAGGTACAATCAGCTCACACTATCTGTCCAGCCTTCAAAATCCACGTGAGTGAAGCCAGCACCATGATACGCAACTGTCCGATCGCCACTAGCAGCAACAGATCACTCGTGGATTTGCACGACATCAAGAGTGTGTGCTGATGGTACTGTATGCCACACGCACACACACGCACACACTCTGCACTTTAACACAGAGAGTCTAAAGAAGAGTCTAGAGCATCATTTGTGCGTGCTGTAAAACCAAGAGCTGAGCGGTGAAGTGTTTGGATAAAGACATCTGAAGGGCGAGCCCGTGGTCATAAAGCGAGATGTGCGTTGTTAGCGTAATGGGCTGAATCACCGTTTAACATACCCACTCTACAATGGGAGGATCACAACAGGAGGAAAGTTAACGGGATAAATACAATCACAGCAAAAACAACAAACAAAAACAAAAAAAACACTGTATTGTTTGTAATGTTTAAACAAAGATGCCACAAAAAAAAAAAAAAAACCCTCAAAAGGTTTCCAAAGAAGACATAAAACACACTGACCCTCTGGCCACACTCACCCAAAAAAAGATTTTTCTAACTGGTTGAAAACGACTGAAAAAAACAAACAAACCAACATTATAGGGAATCAAGAAAAACAAACTTCTTTTTTGTTTTTAAACTGCAGTTAATTAATGTGTGTTTTATGACACAGAATATTCCTGGCCAACCTCCTCCTCCACGTGCTGGCTAAGCTGTACAACAAGTGTTCCAGTGTAAACTCAAGAGGATTGTCCTCGCCTGGAAAACTAGCCTGGATTTTCCAGCTAAGGGAATAAAAATTAGAATACAATGAGATGAGCACTATGGAGAAAGAAAAGCCGCTATTGAACAATAACGTTTTCTGAGAGAAAGGTAACAACTACCAAGTGCTCCAGTAAAGAAAACACACTACACGTCTGCATCTCGACTAAATTGGCCCGACAAATACAATCACGTTAGGTAGTTATTTCATATATTTATCTGCATCTATGCCACAGTCTGTTAAGCTTAGTTACCTCTACTGTTTTTTACTTCACACCATGAACCACAGCAGCATTTAGAGCGGTGGATTATACTGTTGTTTAGTTTGGTGAGATTACAGAATTGAATCATTTGGATGATAACAGAGTCAGTGTGAGGGACGCTGAAAACCAGCAGGTGACTGCATTTACCTTCATGATATGTAAAAACGGTGATTGAGGGCACCTGAAATCAAACAACACCAGTGTATGACTTGACGTTTTGTTGTTCTAGATCAGCCAGAGATGCATCTCCAGCTGCTCAACGGTCTTCACACAAGGCACGTCTTCTTCCATCCACCTCCCTCCACCCCTCTATGAGCCACAAACCCCCGATTCGTCCTCGCTCTCAGGACCTCTGTGATGCGCATCGAGATGAGCTATCGACTTCGGGGCCTTTGCATTCTGGATTTCTGCTGGTTCTCTGAGGGATATGTGGAGGACTATGCACTAGAGCTAAACTGTTTTTAAAAGAAAGTGATCATGAGGATTGGATCTAAGCTTTTTACTTAAGATGGTTCTATGCTCACTTGGTATTACGGAGCTTCATTATTAGTAATGTTAAGAGATAGAATATACTGGAAGTTAGCTTCTTTCTTCATAAGGAAGAAAGTTTACGTCAGAATGGAGAAAAGGATGGAATAAAAGTGAAAATAGGGGATCTACTTCTTTGCCACTGCTAAACCTCGATGCCCAAACCAACGCAAAGATCTTTCTCACACTCCTTCTTCGTCTATACAACAAAACTCCAGACTTTTTTTTATGAACGACCGCTCATGTTGTCTTGTGTCACCAAGACAGCAGTTGAGGTGCTGTCTCTGGAAGCAGGCTGTTAGCTGTGCTAGCTGGTGTGCAGGTGCTCTGGGTCTCCTTTCTCCAAATAGAGGAGGGAGGGGGGTGGGGTGGGGAGGCTTTAACCGTTCAGGAGGTAGACTACCAGCTCGTAGGTGCACATCATGATGCCCGTGTTGGGTATCTGGCGTACCAGGTGGGTGGTGAGACCGCGGTACAGGGCGCGGAAGCCCTCCTCTTTGGGCACTGTCGTTAGCGTCTGGAAGAAAGAGCGGTACTTGTTGCCTTCTTCGCGTAGTCGCGTGCGAATCACTTCTGCAAATTTGAACAAGAGAGAGGGTGGGTAAGAGAACATAATGGGGGGTGATCAGACATCCAGATGAGAACAGCTAGTAACAGCCTCTCACCATGAGGGTAAGCAATAGATGTGGCACAAGTCTTGGAGGTGGCAGCAGCAAGCATCATCCCCACAAAGTCTGAAGCATCTTTTGTCAAATCCTCCTCCTCGTCCATATTCTGTGGTGCCTTGGCCTCCAGGAGGCGCCGTTTAATGTTTTCATAGATCACAAAGTGGATCACAGTCTCTGAGATGCCGGCGTAGGATGCCGACATCCCTCTGTAGAAGCCCCGAAAGCCGTCTGTCTGATACACCTGACGCACGCACTCGAAAGCGCTCATCCTTCGCTCGCCTCGATTCCTGAAAACACAAGAAAAATGGAGGGATTACAAGCTGTGTAGCATACTGCTTCCTCTCACTGTGGATTTGGAGAAAAAAAAAAACTGCTCTTCTTCAGAGACTTTAAGGAGGGATGAAGAGATATTGTACAGAAGTTGCATTTACAGAGCACAGTATGTAAAATAATTAACAATTCCAGCAGCCACTCAGCCTCTTATTAGTTACACCTATGATATCAAGCTCAGAATCCTGGATGACTTTCAGAAAACCTGACCTCTGACCTTGATGTTGAGGTCGAGATCACTGAGATTCAACCTCAGAGATCCTCAGTAGACACACCTGTGGTATCAATTTGAAAATCCTAGAGTGACTCATTCTCAAGTCACAAACTTGGGTGTTCACGCCGCCCAGCCATCTGTCCAGCGAGGTGATGACAATGCCACATCAGCTTTTCATGGCTCAGGGGTAACCCCCCCCCCAAAAAAGACAAACAGAACCCCCCCCCAAACCCCTAAACGAAAGAAAACTGCACACAGTTACTAAGAATATAAAACATAAAACAGGGAGCTGAGCCACCTGACTTCCACACAAATGAAATTTAACCTTTGTCCGGGTAACATTACTCAACAAAACAAACAAAGCCACCCGTTTACAGAACAAAGCAAGGCTCCTGCAAAGATGGACTCCTCGATTACACTGCAGAAGATACAAAAGCACAGGATTTGTCTCCAGTTCACTGTTTAAATTTACACTGAAAACACATTCGAGTGTGTAAAGTGAAAACTGTTCTATGATCACCGAAGCGCATGCCAATTAACCTTTAGTCAGTTTGGCAACGTTTTGCATAGCAAGCCTCGTGGGAAGGGCACGAAAACACTTAAAGCTAAATGCAGAGCATTGAGTGTGATCTCTTTAAATTCAACCAATATCTAAACAGACAGCTCCTTGTTCTTAGTGTTTCAGAGTCAGATTTACAAGTACTTCTGAAACCTACTGTACATGTAAAATAAAGGAAAGTCAAAGCCTGAAGCTTTATGGTTACAAAAGACAGACCACACCCAGCCAGGCGAGCTGCACAAGGTCCAAACAAAAGCAGCGCTCGTTCAGTAGAACTGGTTTAAACTATGAAGGAGGATTCAGAAATAAAGATAGCAACATGTTCTTCAATGACAGCGAATATCTGTGTGGTGACGCGTATCAGAGCAACAGACAAAAAAGAAAAAGAAAGCTACATGAACTGTTCACCTTGCATCCAGCTGTAGACGCGTCTTTATGAGCCATATTGGATTGGTTGCGGTGATGGCTGTAAAACCTAAAGAGGGTAAAAAAAAACACAACAAGGTTACTCTTCTACAAAATTAAGAAATATGATAAGCTAATTCTCAAGATGCTAACAGTAAAGTAAGAATAAACAGGTTCTTTTAGTAAAAAAAATAAATTAAATGAAATTAAAAAAATATCAAAACCACAAAAGCAGGTAGCCCCAAGTAGAGGGGAAGCTGCATGTTATAAGATTTGTATGTCATGCTAACAGCTGTAAGAAAGAGAGAAAAACTCCATCTTATCCAATGAGCTAGGTGAGAGAGAAAGAAGAACCAGACATAAGAAGAAGCACAGATCTGTGGCGAGTACTCACGCAGACCCAAGTAACTCCTCACAGATGCAGCTAGAGACCCCTGGTGGTGCGGGGGTCTCATGCCCTTGCGAGAGGAGAGCTACGGTAGAGTAAAAGCCTAAAACAGACACAGGGCTTGTGTGTTTGCGAAAAGACCCGGCATGCAACCATTCAAGATCCCATTCCCACCATCACCCCGCAGGATTTAACATAATGCACAACGTCATGTGAAATCTCACTCACTCACACTCACACACACAAAGACAGCAGAATGGATATGACGGGAGAGAACAGCTGTTCATTGATTGAAATAAATCCCCTTACATAGAAATAACAGTTTAATGCAAGAGTACTGCAAAACTACAATGCTGCATGGATACCTGCAGTTCTGAGGGATTAAGGGATAATAGGGACGGTTATGCTCATTTTCAGCTCTACTAGAAAAGCTCTGCATTATCTTTTTATTTTTTACTGAGCCTTTCTGCAGTGTGTCAAGCAGAGAATCATCTGCTAACAATTTATTTCAAACCCTAAAACTGAAAACACTCTGCACTGTCTATTATACTTTACGCTCCTATATAGAGCTTCTTAATGTCATCTTTCACCTGCCATTTGGATTTTTACTAGGTTATGCAATCTATATTCCATACATCTTAATATTACTTAATATTTGTATTTAAATGTTAGTGGTAGGGAAGGGAAAAAAAGAATACAGCATAGTATCGCAATCTTTTGCATGGTGATATTATATCGATACATGGAGACCAGATATTGATATTTTATTAAATAAATTAAAATACTGTGGGAATAGTATAAACGAGGAATCATCGAATGCACAACCATCCTGAGGCTGAAAGACTAGCATCTACGCTTACTCTTCCTGCTATCAACAGCAGACTGCTCTAGCCTCTGCTATGTGTGTCACGTAAAGATGAGATGAGTGTTAACACCTCGTCACCTGTCACTTCAGCTCAGGCAGCTCTGTTGGTTGCTGCTGGAGGGAAATGTAGTGACGCTGACCTTGACTGGTTTGCTGAAAGGTCTACGTCATGGTCTGCTACAAGTGGTGTTACTGTGAACTTTGGATTCACCCAGAAACCCAGTGAAGCAGTCTGACTGACCCATATCATACAGGCTTATTATTCCCAAAACAATCAGCCACTTGAGAGCAGATAACCCACCCCTGACATGCAAGGCATCAGAGAATTGTGGTGTGGTATTTAAAACTGACCTCATAACGCATTTATTTTAATCAGCATTGCAAAGGGAGCCATACACACACACACACAGCAAATAGTAAAGAAACACAAGTGATGCCTGTAGGATTTTCCTACAACCCCTATTCCATAGAAGTTGGGACGCAGTAAAATCGAAATAAAACTGAATGCAATGCATTTGAAAATCTCAGAAATATGCACTGATTTCCATGACAGAATCATTCCTGTTTTTACTGAAGTTCTGTCTGTACCTCCAGTATTGATTGTTCAATGTGCACAGGGATTTCTTTTAGAGCTCTTTTAGTGATTTTATATACTGTAGATGGTGAGATATTTAATGTCTGATTAATAGTATGATGAAATTTATAGACACTGTTTCCTGGAAACTGGTGAAAGGCTGTCCCTCTTTATTTCAGAAAAACAGCACTCTAAAATGCTCTTCATCATCATGCTCCAATCATGTTACTGACCTGTTGCCAGGTAACCTATTTAGTTGCAAAATGTTCCTCCAAATGTTTCTTTTTAGTCCAATTGACTTTTATAGCCTTCTGCTGTCTTCACCCAACTTTCTGGGGCATGTTGCTGCCATCAAATTCAACATGAGCTAATATGTTTGATAAAAAGTAAAATGTCTAGATTTGAACATTTCATGTCTTTTTTTTATGTTTTACTGGGAACAGTATTTGGGTTGATGAGATTTACAACTCATTGTATTCTGTTGTCATTTACATTGTACACAACGTCACAACTTGTATGGAACTGGATTTTAATCAAATCTGATACAACATTAGTTTTACCACTTTAACTTTCATGTAACATGACTATTTGTGGAAGCTCACCAACACTGAAGAGACAAGATCAATATGCTCACAACATTAGAAACAACTGCTATTTTAGTTTCTAAAAAGCAGGACACGATGATCCATGCCTGTCTGATGCCTTGGGAACTAGTTGCATAAAACACCTCTAGTTTTCTCCTTCTTCTTCTTTTGACATAGCCATTTACTGCAATGAAAAAGACTTTATAGATTTAAAACTCTATAGTTTTTAAGGAAACGATATGGATGTCCATTTCATATTTGCAGTCTGACCTTTATTGCACCACCAAATTAGTTTAAGAATGAAGAGATTATATTTGTGCTGGATAAAGAAAAAAAAGAAAGCACAAAAAACAAAAGCTAATTTTAAAAAAAAAACAAAAAAAAAAAAACACACACACGTGCCAAAACCTGCAGTTCCCACATTGGCCACTTGAGGCTGGTTCCAAAAGTGAGTCATTCTTCACAGACTCCAGTGTTCAAATGTACAAATAAACTGACTTATGGTTCTGGAAATGTGACATCAACAGACTGCTTGCCACTGATTGGCCAGTCAATGGCGTAACTCGATGACTCATGAGAGCCACTCTCTTACAAAAATCAGAAACGCCATTTTTGAAATCCAGCAACGAGGGAAACGGCTACACAAAAACAACACGGTGGTCCCGGAGTCTGAAAAAGCCACACACTGAGCAGCAGGTATTGCATCACTATCCCCTGCTGTCATGTTGTTTGTTGGATACAAATGACGCCGTGGACTTTCGGGCGCGTTGCTATAACGACCCTATGCATATTAAGTGGTACTCAATTATCATGGAAAATGACTGAAACCGAGTACAGTAAAGTTGAGTTGAGTAGAGTAGAGTAGGTACTAGTAGTCTTTTGTACCACCACTGTGGGGATTCTTTAAGTTTAAGGCAAGGAAGTTAAAATCTTAAATACATAGAAGAAGACTGTAAGAAAAAGACTTGAGAGTGTTTTATGCAACTAATTTAACTTTGACTTTAAAAAAAGACTTTTTTGCAGACATGTAGTTACCTGCTATTCCAGCCGACACCATGTGCACCTGTGTGGAGTCAGGTTCCAACACGCCGTTCAGTTTCTCTTTGGCAGTGGAGTAAGCACCAAAGTAGATTGCTCTATTAGTAGAAAAGGAGGACAACAAAAGGGGGTCAGCATGTGTTAAACTGGAATGAGGCAAAACAAGTTATATATGCCATGTTTTTGTATTTCAGTGCACAACTAATTAGTCTGAGCCACTGCCTCCAGTAGCAATACAGCTCATCAATTACACTGCATTAACAAGTGTACAACTGCCCTCGTGTCTGGTTCAGTTTAATGGGGTTTAAAAATTCATTAGGTGTAAAGCCAAGAGCAGAACTAATATTCTCAGCAAATCAGCCTAGTTGGACAAATAAGGCTTTCAGCAAAAAAAGCATGCCTTCATTTATTTGCAGTAATTATCTTTAGTTGTTTTCACTAATTAAAATGGTCATAATGATCATGTTCACACTTGTGTCTAAATAGGAGCGCTGCTTTTGCTTTTATTCCAGTAATGGCACTACCGTGTGCGCCATCTGGTTCATTTGTACACCGGTTTGTCAAATGTGCTTAGTCAGACTTTTAATGATGTTTGGAGTTCATCCGTCACATTGTAGTGCGAGTCTTTGCTTGCTTTTCATTAAATCTCCATCTGTACTCAGGAGTCCTCTTTTCCTTCCTTTCCTCTACCTAACCATTTGTTCATATAACACTAACAAAACACTTAGTGTATGCTTAGCACTGGCACCTGCTTCCGCAGCACTAGCTGCTGCCCACTGCCATTAGTCACCACTTTGCTTCTCTCATTACCAGTCAGAGCGGTTAATGAAATGAAACTATTATGGCAGTTGGTTAGAAGTTTTCCCCAGGCTTAGACTATGTGAACACGTCGCCATGAAGTCAGTGGTGCACAAACTGCTGAGAATGCCATGACAATGAATGGCTCCTTAATGAGTGTGGATCCCTGATTCTTCTTCGTCACCAAGTAACCTCAGCAAACGTTGTAGTAGTTACAGAGCACAACTGTTTTTCACAGGCTATGGAGCTGTAGACTTTTTACCAGATACTTAAATCAACATTTCTTTAAAGCACACAGTATTTTTAGTGCTCTTGATTCTTCAAGGTTATCAAAAACTATATGAGCTTATAATATCAAACTATGTAACAATATAGACAAAAATATCTACAACAGCAGCAAGGAGTGCAGAAGATGATTAAATACGCCTGCACTCCTGTAGCTTACTGTGTGCACATGGATCAATCTACAATCAGAACATGGCTGTACAAATTTGACCTGCATAGAAATGATGCCAAGAAAGGCCTTTGGTGTCAAAAAGGAACATCAGAAGCCAATTACTTGGCCACAGTAACAATAAATTTTTTTGGAGTAGATCAATGACACCTGTTCAAAAGAATTACCCCACACCAACTAAAACAAGGTGGTGGGAATTTTCTTGTCTAACAGTCATTAATTCACCCATGAATACGGAATCTTAATAACCAGTAAACATTTGGACACATGTTCCAAAATTGGCAGCTGAACATAGCGGGATAATCATCATCTAGGAATGACTCAGAAAGATGAAATGGAGGATTATGGATGGTCAAAATAATAATGCAGGAAGACAGTGAGAAAAAAGATAAGAATAAAACCATCAGAGCAAACCATTTTATCTGTTCAGCTTGACTCCACAATGTTTTGAAACTGATAACAAATAATGATGATAGAATTAACTATAACTATTAAACTAGTACTTGACTAACAGTCTCTTTCTGCCCCTCATGGGCCGGCTGTGGTTCAGGTGGTAGAACTGGTCGTCTACCATCCCGAGTTGACCCAACTGCATCAGAGTGTGAGTGTTTGTGATGTTAGCTAAAAGTGCTTGGATATAGATAAAAGCACGGTTTGATGTTCCAGGGTCAATATGGCAACTGACCAGTCATACTGTTGGGATGTCATAGCTTTGCAATGAACAAGAAATGGCTCTATAATATAATAAATATATTATATGCCAATATATAACCATATTATATAAATATATGCCAATATAATAAATATATTATCAAGTTAAGTTTGCTGTTAGCTAACTTCTAATGCAAACTGAATGCTCAGACAACGTGATTTAGTTGTAATACTGATCCTGGACCTATGTTATGATGACGCATTAACAAAACCAACACGGGTATATCAGGTCGTGCTTTTGTACGTAATGCTAACAGTAAGAAAAACACAACGTATCAGATAACTTACCTGGAAGGTGCCACACCCACCAAATTTGGCCCCAAGCCTCTGAAGAGAGATCGAGGTCCCTCTTTCTGCAATATCAATCTGAACGAACACACACACACACACACACACACACACACACACACACGGATTAGAAGCAACGTATTGCACAAAACTCCAAGGTTATCTGACAGAAAGTCTTTTCCTAAAGATGATGCCAGTCAGACAATCCCAGAGTGCCAGCCCTATTTATAGTCATTACAGTTTTGTTATGCCCCCCCCTCACCACATCACCAACCCAGACCCTCTGTGTGGAACCTTAACCTAGTTTCAAAGCCCTAAAACAAGCAGGCAATCTAAGAATAGCAAAAACTGTCACTCCAACACTTGGATTGTCGTGTGTAATGAACACCGCAAGGTCTAGGGGGACACACAATAAAACACAATGTCTCAGTTTGTTCCCAAGGATTACGAGCACTCCACCACTTTAAAGAGTGGCAGCACCCAATGTGCTATGCTGCAGGTTGTTTTCACCCAAATCAACATGAGATTTACAAGTAGTAATAATTAAACTAGAGCCAGAAATTGTGATATGATTTTGCTCATTTCTCAGTCTTTGGCAACAGCTTCCAAAAGCTGAAGAGTTTCAGTCTCCAGTCATGAATCAGGTCTAAATATTGGTTTCAGCTTTAGTTAGCAGGGGTAGCCAGGTGTTTTCACACAGGCCTGCTGACTGCACCCCTTCATCTACAGCCTGCAACATGTCAACAATGTCTGTACTCAGCGGCAGCTGGAGAACATATAAAACATGAATAAGTTAGGAATACACTACATCCTGCAGAGCAAAGCTGCAGCTGGCAACTCCCATATGACTAAACTGGAATGGTGGCACTCTGCCATCGAACACACTTTTTTCAGAGTAGCATTCGTTCCTCTTCTAAAGTTGCCATGCTGCTTTTGGGTTGCCACAATGGGTTTGGTTTTTACATCGGATGCTAATGAAACCCTACATTTGGGATTTGTGTCTCATTCTGGGACTGAACCAGGAATCATTAACGTGTTAGTCCAATGTGTAAACCACTACACCCTCTGCCTAAATTGGTATGGTATTGCTGTGACTGTCATAACAGATACTGTGACTGATGATTAGTTTCACAAATAAAATCACAGATAAATAAATGGTAACAGTTGGATTTGCTGTGAAATGTCCTCTTTGACTAAAGCAACTAGTGTGTTCTCCTGTGTGTGCCTCTCCCAAAGGCTGCTATTGAGGAGTTGTATTTCAGGGAGAGAGTGGTTTTGCCAGGGGGGCACTGGCCAGATTAAACCACCTCTCGGGGAGAGTACAGACCACTGAATACACATGTGAACAGCTCCACTCATTTTAGCTCAAATAACTGTAAGCTGCTAATTCAAAGCAATGCTAACATTATGTACGATGTCAAAATATGCTCTGTGTGTATGTGTGTGACATGTTAAAAGATACCCACTTGAGACAGTGCAGGGGGCCCGGTGGAGACACACGGGCCACGCTGGCTCCATTGACAGTGCTGAGCTGAACCTCAGACACATAGAGGGTGATGGAGGATGACTGGAGACGGGTCTTCACTACTTCCAGTGGACAAGTCAATATGGCTCCTACGGTGCCCCCACATCTGGTGCAAAAACAGAGAAGGCTGAGGTGAGCCAGCAAAGCACAACAGATAAAATCGGCACAAACAGTTCCTGTATTCTTTACCAAAAGATCCGCAAAGCGTTGCCTAAACGAATCACCCGGTGTGGTGAGTGGAATTCTAAAGATCCCAGGCATGTAGACAAGAAAAAGCACAGTGTTGGGATAGAAAGCCAGCCAGGAATGCTTTGTGTTTCTTGGGAAGTAACAGCATGCTCCCATTTAGCACCACACCATATTAAAATTCCTAGATATGTGGATTTTAATAAACTAGGAAACAAATAAAAATACTTCTGTTTTTAGCAGGCTTCAAAGTCAGGTGCAGCCAGCCCCACTTTGTATACATCATGTCATACATCAGGACAAAGATGTATCATTAGTTTCTCTGAAGCATAAGTAATCGTATATGTTTGGAATACTATAAATTCTTCCTAATCAGCTGCCTCTCCAGCGAGCTTTTCAGTTATACCCCTTGTTCTCCTCTGCAGAATCAATTACATTGCTGTAGTGCCATGTGAACCAGTTCTCCCCTAGCTGCCAGTTCTGATTGGAATGACTCACAAGCTTATTGGATCTCAAGATCACAGTAGGATCAGCACTGAAGTCTGACCTGGTTAGCCTGCCAGAGAGGAAGCTGAGAAGGGAAACTGCCAAGAGTAGCCAGTTTGCAGCAACTAAATGTTTAGAATTACAACAAGGAGATTTTGTCAGGCAGATTCAAATATAAAAATAAATCTCTATACTTTCTGATATTAATGGCCACTTGAGTGGCCATTAATATCAGAAAGCTAAGTGCAGAAAACATTGGAACCCTGGTTTAGATCATCATGGTTAGAAGAGGATTCTCAGAACAGTGTAAATGTAGTAATAAAGCTTGGTTATTTCAACCAATGGCAGCTAATTATGTTTCACAGAAACTAAAGGCTACCTCATTTTATGTGTACAAAGTTAACGCTGCAGTCTTAGATCATGGGGATGCACAAGTTAAATGTATCATTTTAGTATAATTGTAATGAAACTGAATGTGAAAAGAAAATTAATATATCATTGATGTTCTAAATGATCTTAATGCCTACACCATGTTTATTGCAATATTCGGGGCTCCCATGCATTGCTAATTTTGAATTTTTAAGACAGACTTTTTTTTAAGCATGAGGTACAATAGATATGGTGGCTAATATATCTTGTAAACATACTGTTATTATTTATTTTTTACAAATATTCAAACAGCAGGTACAACGTACAGTCAGGTACGAAAAGTAAAACTAACTACATCGACAAAGCACAAGAATATTATCTACATGAACTCGATAAATAAACTGAGCCTAACAGGTCCTGTTAGATTTAGTTTAGGCTAGGCAATAGCAAAAGAATTGTAAACAGCAGTTATCTACACTTAAAGTTAATTTTCAACCGATACCAAAACAGAGAGTGTGTGTGTCTGTGTGTTAGAGAGAGAGACACACACACAGATAAACAGGGAAAGCAAGTCCCCAAAACACAGTTTTTAGCAGAGGTGAAGTAATCAAGAGTCAGATAATTACTGTATATAAAGGGAAAGCAGGACATCAGAGACATCATACGACTACAGCTTAATATGCAAAAACTGACTCCTTTAACAAGATAACACCCACTCAACATGTTCAGGCCTACAAAAGCAGAACTCTTATCCGTGCTTTTCTTAAGTATGGTTTAGTATGCCAGTGTAATAAACTGCTGCATGTTGTTAAAGAGCTCATTTAAGCTGACAAATGATCCCTTTGCCCATTTCTAGTGCTGAAACACTAGTATTGTGTTTCACTGTGTACCAGGTCAGTCTTTCAGACGGAAGATGAACGTTTCTGCAAAATTCACGGATCTGCAAAAATACAGGATTGCTGATTCACACCCTTTCGTAACAGTCCCAGGCTGTGATTCAATCATAGTTGAACGTGCTATATACCGAATATGCTTTGGAAAACGAGTTTGATACAAGCCTATAGTTAAGATACGCTGACATAGTTGAGATGTCACTATTTCGAGTGACCTTTACTGGGAGTCTGCCCACATTTGTTTTGCTGCACACAAGGCGCACAGACGTTTAAAGACGCCGGCTTTCTAAAGCCAAAATTTTCCTGGTCGTAGCTATAAATAATATATGATAATACACAACTCTGACGAAGACTTCCGAGTGTTCGTAAAAAGCAATTTCATTCATACATTGAAATGTCATTGAGAAAACTGCGAGTGCGCATACGTGAGGACAAGATTAGCTGACATCTGACAGTGATGCAAAAAGTTATCTCTGGGTTACCTTTACGCAACTACCCAAAGCCAAAATACACAAAACATCAATACGGATATCGCATAATGGACAGCTACAGCGTCTATAGCGATAGCAATTAACTCACAGTGTGTGGCTAGCTAGCCCCGCTCTGACGACAGGAAGACGAGGAATATACTCACCCTCCAGCAAACAGATGAACTAAGGTATCTCTTTGACTCATTGTGGATCATATTCGGGAACCGTCCACGGGGCACCACACAGGGGGCAACGGGAACGTAGGTGACGAGACGGGGGAATGTCGACCCCGTCGTAGCAAGCAAATGTTACTCAGCAGGTCTGTGTTGTGGTGGAGGTCAGCTGCGTGCTAAAAGCGAGGGTATGTAACAGCTAACTTAGCTAGCTCGCGCTAGCTGCCACGGCTAGCGGGAGTGCGTTGGTAATGGCAGACGTCAGAGCGACAGGACAGCGTCTTCTCCTTTCTGAACGGGACACTGCTTCACCGTAAAAAGTGTGCGTGTCTTTAATGTTGTCGGGCAATTCCAGTCTTGTGGTAATAAGATCAACTATGGACTACACTCGACCTCCCTCCCGCTGACGTGCTATTGCCTCACTGAGGAGCTCTGCGGGTCACGTCGCAATGTTTATCGTCGAATGGGAAGCCGCAAAACAGAGGAGCCGATTGGCTGAGGGATCCCGCGAGCCCGCCCTGTCACTATTCTTTCACGTGATGTCGTTTGAGGGCAGAGATCGTCACTGGACTCAGAGAAACGAGCTGGGCTGATGTAACGTAGAACAGACACGAAACGAGGCTGATCTAACGCTTTTATTTGTATTCGTTCAGGTTACAGTAGGACACCAGGATAAAGCACTCACATAAACGAATACAATGGCTGAATACAAGCCACAGCATTTAGTTGGAGAACTACATAATCACGACTCCTAAAATTTATATCATGTAGTAGCATATGTAGTTCCAGTTTGGGTTTTGTTTATGCTCAGTGTTTAGTCTCGATATTTAAAACTTCCGCCGCCCGAACAGGGACTTGAACCCTGGACCCTCAGATTAAAAGTCTGATGCTCTACCGACTGAGCTATCCGGGCTCTGGTCATGGTGGCTTCAACGTATGTAATTCTCCATCAAATCTGTAGTTCAACTTCTAAAAACGAAGCTCCCTAAAAATGCAATAACACCTAGAGTAGTTTTGTAGTTACAAGGATTTATTATTTTCCTGCCTCCCATTTTTTTAACGCAACCATCTATGCAGTCATTTTGTTAGTGTTGTGATCACAGACTGTATATAAAATATGTTAAGTAACCACAATAACCTCAGCAATTGCTTTTTAATGCTGTGTTCCAGATACCTCAGAAGCAGTGTTGGGTGTAACACGTTACTAAGTAACGCATTACTGTAATTAAATTACTTTTCCACTGAAAAAGTAGAGTAACTGATTACTGTTCATTTTTAGGTATTTTAATTACAGTTACTTACAATGTACTTGTGTTACATTTTAAAATAATTAAACTCACTGAATATCATTATTTAATTTCAATAATTTATCTTCTAAAGGTCAGTTGTCATGACTGAGGACACAACACGTTGATAATTTAGTGGCTTGTCAAATAAAAGGTAGCCATGATCCAAACCTTTTTGGACAAGTGAAATCACGTCACAATGACCTGTTTTGACACTATGCCTAAGCATTCACTGCTGGGAAGCAGCTGTTACGTGACACTTCATTGTATCGAACAAGCAAAGAATTCTGAAAAATATAACTTGTCAAGCCGCATTCCAGTAATCATGTTTTTGGTTTAATCATTATGCCTGTAGCAGAGTGCCAGTATGTCATGTGTGTTACATGACAGGTTATTATTTTCACATACACAGAAGCTCAGTGCTGCTACCATTGGTGATTAAATTTAAAAAACAAACAAACAAAAAACAACAACAACAACAAAACCTACAGTATATCACTATATATATA